CTGGAAAAAGCATAGCCTTGAAAATATGTACCTTTGCTGTCAGTATGATGTCTCTGCACCTTAATATTTCGTCCAGGTTTGTCAGAGTCATTTTCGCAAGTAGAAGACTGACTTTTCTTTATTTTAAAATGATGGTCACCATCCTTGCTGATTTTTCAGTCCTGGAAAATAAAGCCTGTTATTACTTCAGCTTCTTCTCTGCCTGTTTGCCTTGGGTTGGCCTTGCCAGTTGACATTTTAAAATTTTATGTTATTAATATTATAATATTAATTTATATCAGTTTTGGAAATTTCAGTATTAATATTGACCAGCCTTTGCACTCTTTCACCTTTAACAATAGATCCTTTAAGTCTTTCTGGCTTCCAGTCATCAAAGTGGCATTAGCCTGTTAATGTTTCTCCAAGCAATTTTAATTCCAATTAATCTTGGCCCACTCCTTTCCTAATTTTGAACCATTTAGTCGCTCCGTATTCTGTTTTTTCTTGGTCCTCATATAAATTCTTCAACATGCTGAGGTAGCCCAGTACATCCATGCTTTTAAGGGCAATCCACAGTTTGTGTGGTCTACACAGTCAAAAGCCTTTCTATAATCAATAAAGCAAAAAATAGATTTTCTTTTCATTATCCACTGGATGTTAGCAATGTGATTTCAGGTGGCTCTGCCTCTTCTGAATTCAGCCTGTACAGCTCTTGTTCCGTGTATTGTTAAAATCTGGATGCAAAATCTGAAGTGTTATAACAAGTGAGATAAGTGGGTTGTCTGGTAGTTGGAGCATTCTCTTCTGGTAATAGAACATATATTTATCTTTTCCAGTCACTTGGCCCAGTGCTGTGTTTTTCATGCTGGCTTACAAACTGAAAGTAGCACTTTCACTCCATCATCTTGCAGGGTTTTAAAGAGGTGTGCTGGTATTTCAGCAACTCTCTCAGCTTTGTTGTTAGCAGTATTTTCTAGGGCCCATTTAACTTTACTTTCCCCGACGTCTGGGTATGGTTTAATGATTACATCTTTATACATGGAGACCTTTTGTACATTTGTATATTTGAGCCACCTCTTCTTTATATTTTCTTTTTCTTACAGATTCTTGCCTTCCTCGTCGGTTTTTATGCCCATCTTTGCATTAAAGTTTCCCATGATTTCTGTAATTTCCTTAAATAAAGTTCTTGACCTTTCCTTTCTATTATTATCCTTGATTTCTCTGCCCTGAAAATTTAGATGTAATTTCCTTGTCTCTTCCTGATCTTCTCTGGAACTCAGGATTTAATTGAGCACATTTTTCTCTCCCTCTGTGGCCCTTTTTTCCAGTGTTTTTCTGGCTATTTTTAACCCATCAGGAGTATTTTGCATCCTTTTGCTTGTTTTAATTTTGGGGATTTTTGTTTGCGTTGTCTTTAATGATGCCATACATTTCAGTCCAGAGTTATTCAGGCACTCTATTTATCCATTCTAATGCATCAAATTTATGCTTTACCATCACTGCATAATCCTGTGAAATGAGTCAGCACTCATTCTTGGTTTTGCTGACAGAAGAGAGTGTCCCCATCTTTGCTTGCCGAATATACAGTCAGTCTGATTTTGGTGATTGTCCATCTAGTGATGTCTTTAGATTGTCCATCTAGTGATGTCTTTTAGATGTCTTGTTGAAATAACGTACTTGTTATAAACATTGTGTTTTCTTGGCAGAACTCTGTCCCCTCCTAGATTCTGTATACTGAAGCCTTATTTTCCTGTTATACTAGATGTAACTTCATTCTCAATTTTAACATTCCAGTCTCCTATACTTATTTTGACCTTTGTTGGGTGTTGTATCAAGAAAATGCTGGAAGTCCCATAGAACTGTTGAAGTTTTTTCTCCTCTGTATCTGTGGTTGGAACATAGACTTGGATCATCATCATATTAGTTGGCTTGCTTTTGACTTAAATTGAGATAGTTCTATTGGATAGTTTCTGAACTGAGAGGCTCATCTTCTACAAACATGTTGACATTGTCGTACATTTCCATTTGGGTTTTTTTGGCAGTAGATTACTCATGCCTAAAAAGAATGCTACTCTTTCCAAAGTGTTTCTCTCTCTCTCTTTTTTTAGGGAATGGAAGATGTAAGAAAGGTATATTTGTTCTCTGTGAGCTTACCCTGTAATCTTTTGCAGTCTTTTTCTTCTCAGGGAAGTATAATTGAAGAACTACTTAGCAAGTTCAGTTTTTTTTTTTTTAAAGTTATGCTTTTGCCAAGCTTTATACACTTGATGATGTAGGAAGATGTCAAGTTAGGAAAGAAGTTAAGAGTAAATAAAAGGGTTGGGAATGTTGCAGCTTGATTCCATGTAATACTTTTTTTTCCCATGACAGTATAAAGTTTCTCATCTAACTTTTAAATAGGTACTTGTGTGTATGTACACACATCCTCTCCAGAAACCAAAATCTGAAAACTCCAAAAAAGCTAGAATCAAATAAGTACATAATATGAGCATGTATACCAACTGCTGTTGAAATACATATATTTTTGAAATTGGGTCTTTCATGTATCCTTTGCAGATTCTACAAGGTTCTAAATTATGATAAAAAACATACTGTCCATATAGAGCATGACCAGACATTTGACTTATGTTTTTCTCTCTGGCAATATGCATTCATACATAGCCATGTTTGTTGGGGATTCTGAGAATTGTATTCCTCACATCTCTGAAAGTGAAGGGTCAGCTAGGGTCTCTCATCTCCCAAACAAAACAGAAAGAGAGAGGGATTTTGACCCCAACCCAAAAACCTGTTTTAAAGGAGATAATGCACCTTAGCTCATAAACTGCATTGGAAATATTCTGCTGGGTTTCAAACAGGGTTTCCCATATGAAGGAGTCTGCTGTTTAAAGAAATATCAGGTCTGCTAATATAAATTAGATATCTTTATCTACTTACCTGGAAGTAAGTCCCACTGAACTTGGTAGAACTTACTTTTGTGTGAAGTAAAGGGGATACTGCCAAACCACCTGAAAATAGCATTGCAATGATTTTTCTTGAAATATATAACTTTAGTATGTCCAGCTGCAAATTGCATTATGCTTATTCCGGGGTTGACCTATTTGCACACAAATAATGATAATCATTTGCATACTCTAGTATGGGAGAGGTTAAATTCTTAGAGAAAAGAGCCCAGGTGCTCTTTTTCTTTATAGCAATGATAGTGCTTAATATCCAATAGATCTCCTCTTTAGGAATATAAATAGGGACAGGTAAGTGTATTTTTTTTCAGATCATTCAAATTAAACAATTGCAATCCTGGGAGCTATGATATGAATTAAAAAAGAGCTGTTTCTCAGATTACATGCCTCATTAGCCATATTTGTAAGCAACAAATTTATGAACAAGACACCATTCTCGGGCATGATTTATCAGAGTATTCTCAGAGTAAATAGGAACCAGATACAGAAAGCTATATTTTGAGCTGTGAAGAAGGTCTCCAAGAATAAATTACCAAGATTATAATGAATGTTTGTGGTAGGACCTTAGCTCAAAACACATGCTTTGTAGGCAAAAAATCCACAAGTTCCATATTTGGCAAAGAGGAATCGATCATGTAGCAAATGGTGACAACCAAAGACACTGGAGAAGCACTGAGAACTAGAGCAGAGAGTACTTGACTAAATGATAACTAATATAATACTATATAGCAGTTTCTTGGGTTTTCAAATTCAAACTGTTATGTTGCTGGTAAGCCCTTTTTGAAAGAATTCTTGGTGCAATGAAACCAGTGCTAGGTGTATGGAAGGTTTCTTCTGAATGGGAATAAAGAAACACGCACATCCTATTAAGAGCCATCATGGTAAACAGAAGTTGGGAAAAATCGAAATGTGGATTTATCGTCTTAGAAATAATGCCTGGAACTTCATGGAACTAAAGTGGCATGTCAAATAGAAGAATACTTTGTTCAACAAGGCTGTCAAGAGCTAGTTCAGAACTTTTATGGGATATACTTAAGATCATCCCTGGGTGTTATGGGGCTTCAGCCTCTTGAGATGGTCCTAAGCTTTTATTTATATATATGGAAAGTTCTCCTGGAAAGTTCTCCTGGAAGACGACTGGATGACATTTTCCAACCTGGTGATGAGATTGAGAACTTGGCAGAATTTCTTGTGAAGAGGCAACAGGGCTTCAGCTCTCCTTTCCATAACTACTGTGTCAGAAATATTTACACCCAAGGCAGATTATAGAGCCATTTGTTCCACCTACTCCTTCTTTCTCGGCTTATAACCCACAGAATTCACAGCCAACCCCAGCACACTCAGATGTTACAATGTTAGGAAAGCCCGGTCTATGATGACTGATCACTGCTCTTGGAGTTTTCAGAGAGAGTTCTTTTCCAGCCTATTTGCTAGGATTTAACTTGTGACATGCTCTATCATAAGCTATGGCCTTTTTACAATCCCTTTATAGGGGTTTCAAAAATCAGAGTGGTTTTTGTGTGTTTTTTTTGGAGTAGGATTTGATAAACCTTGACAGAAAGTCAGCATGGTGTAGTGGTTAAGGTACTGGATTAGGGCTGGAAGCTCTAAGTCTAGTCTTTCCTTAGGCACGGAAGCCAGCTGGGTGACCTTGGGCCAGTCACTCTCTCGCATCCCCCAGGGTTAGGTTCTGCAACAAGCAGGATGCTTAAGCAACCCCTTTGTTGCATTGTGTATTGACAGCTTTGCTGTGTCAGCTAAGCAAGCACAATGTAAACAAAGCAGAGTCTGCAACTAAGCAGGACAAAATGCTAGGGGAAAAAATAGTGCACATTTTGAAATACCAGAACAAAGAACATATTTCTGAAGAGCAGAACTATCTACGCTTCTTGGTCACATTTTGAGAATCTACAATTGCTGTTTTTGTTTTGAGCTGCCTTCAGAATTCAAGATAGTAGGTATTTTTAGATTGAGAGTACATTGTGGGAAATATGATTCTGCGTCAAGAATACCTAGCCATTTACAAGGGGGCACACGAGGTGTTGAACATTTTTCAGCTATTACCTGTGTGTGTAGGTTAATGGAGGACTGATTCGGGGAGTAAGGCCCCCCAAGGTCATTCCTGAGAAGGTTGTCGCTGTGCATCTTAGTTTTGAGGCAGGTGATGTAACGATTACAAAAGTCTTTGCACAATTCATTCACTTTCTCCAGCTCCAAGAGGTGAATTCGCAGGACCTGAATGGCTTTCACCATCTGCAGACAATTAAAGCAATAGCAGGGTCACTTCACTTATAGAAAACAATGAATGCTTCAGCTATTACCTTTGGAAGATAATGCATTCAAACGATTGTAATCAGTTCTGCTATGTTCATTAATTAATAATGTATTTCATCATTTAAAAATGCATGCACTTTCTCATTTTCCCATTTTGATTTTATGTTCAAAAGGGGAAAAAAACGTTTCTCTTGCATTCTAATCAAAAGTCACAAGTACATGTGCATTTGTACACATGCAAACACACACACACACATCATGTTATCTAGTGAAATGATTAACACGCAACTATAAGAAACTTTAGTTAACTATAAGAAACAATGGGAAATTAAACATACAACCTATATATTATCTATTTTGCTAATTGGTCCTGTGATAAAATACTTGCTCAAATACAGACACAGTTACACACTGTGTAATCAATGGAAAATGGGTATCCTATCTTCGTAGCACCGGATTGTTTCCAATCACAAAAAAGCACAGAATTCTTAGTTGTTGTTCTCCTGTTGCTTTCCAAACAATCAATCTCCTGTTGATTTCCAAATTCCAATACAATTCAACAGAACATGAGCCTCTACAAAAACTGACGAGTCCTCCAGGAAAGAATGAACATATGAAATAATTTCTGTCCAAAAAGGAGCCACCATAACACATATCCAGATCATAGGCACCAGGATTGCCTTTTGAGCAACACTTCTCTGACAATTACCTGAATGTATCAGCTTCTTCCTAAACAGACGCAAAAGTGCCCAACAAACACAAAATAATTGTTTAATTACCCATTAATTTAGATATGCACAGATCCCCAAATATTCAAAAATAAAAGTACCGATGATATCTTAAGTGCTACCTTAGAAGAATCATCCCCTCTAATATGAGTGAAAGAACATATTTTTTTTCATGATTAGGAAAGTGAAGTGTGACACATGGAGCTGGTCTCCTACCTACATAAGAAAAAGGGGAGATCATTGAGAATAGAGATGCAGCTGTAAGTGAAATCTCCAAAGGATAGAATTAGGTTGATTTGGTTCTTACTTATGGACCCCTGATTTCTAAAAAGCAGAAATGTCTTTTCTGTACCATGTACAGACATGTACCATGTCAGAATTGGGCTACCATTCCATGTCCTCTAATGGGTGCTGCTACCGCTGCTGCCGCCACTGCTAAGAGAGGTGAAGCCACCAAATATTCCCTTGGGAAAACTCAGCTTTTCATTCTTGGACCATTTTGGAATCCAGCCACAGGCTTTCTTATGTAAGAGCATCCTTGATTATTCTCAGCTGGCTCCTCTGCTTAACAAGACCTGAGAATGAAAATCTGCCTGTAAGCTCTCCCTTGGGAAAAGCCTTGGCCTTCATAAAATGTACCCCATAAATGTTAAAAAATTTACACATAAAACATGCCATGCATGGAATGGAGGCCTTCCATTTTATAGCCCCAGCTCCAAATCCTGAATTATATATAAAATATAAGCTATTCACCACAGGGCAGTAAATCAGCTTTTTAAAAATATTGTAACAAATGGTCTTTAATTTCAGACCAGTTTTTTCAACTTGCTAATTTTAATGGTCCTTTTTACCAGCTATTAGTCACAGGCTGTTCAGGGGGGAGGATGACTATACATATCAACTTGGAGTTTGCTTTTGATTCCACTAAGAAGTAGCAGAAAGATTATTAAGGAAGTCGCTTTCACATCTGGAACAAAGAAGAATATCCATTTTTGTTCTATGATAATGGAAGGTACAAGCAGGAACAGTCTGAAGTAAACTTATCTAAGTTCAGATTTTTAAATCAATAGAGAAACTGAAACATTATCATTTGACAGTCACAGTTCTGTTTAGCAACCTAGTTCATCAATAAAAAAGTATATTAATTTGTATCAAAATATGTCTCGTACTAGGCAAAATTGCACCCAAAATGCACATTTTGTATTAAAATACAAATTTTGGGTGAGCTTTTAAAAGGAGAACTTCTCCCATTTGACAAACCAAACTGGACATTCTCACAAAATTAAGCAGGCAAGAGAAATGAAAACGAATGGATTCACCTGTCCCAGTGTGAAATAACAGGCATTTCTCTTCCTTGCTGCAGTGTGTAAGCTTTCCTAGCTGAATTACAAAAAAGGCAGGGGGGAAATGGTATAGGTGGAGAGAATTATTTTTAGATTATTCAGAACTGTAGTATTTTTTGTGCAAACAGGGGGCAAATTCCTCCAACTTCCCCATCTACTAAAAGAACCTTGATATTAAAAGCTCTACCATAAGTAAACTCAATTGCCCACTTGCCACCAGTCAGCAGATCACGTTCTGAAGTGAATTTCTTTAAATGGGAACTGTTGAAATATTCCAGTAGTTATTGGCTACCATTGTCTTCAGGAGTGCAAGGGAAGAATATCATTTCAGAGATGGGGGTAAATTGGCAGGACATAGAAACCTTATTAATGAATCCTTCCCAAAGAAACATTAGCAGCAACCACATTTGATGTGTGGGAGGAGAAGGATATGTACCAGTAGAAGAGAATATGTGTAGCTCAAGGTTGAACC